AGATTCTAGGCATAGAATTATACATTGTGATTTCAAAGCTAGTAATGTCCTGTTGGACAAGGACATGAATCCAAAGATAGCAGATTTTGGCATGGCAAGGATTTGTGGGGCAGATCAAAGTCAAGCAAATACAAGCAGAATTGTTGGTACATAGTAAGTATCAAAACAAACCTTCCTATTATTCTTATGAATGGTTTGGATATTAGATTACAATACTAATAGTGCTAGATTCTAGTGGTTATATGTCTCCAGAGTACGCACTATAAGAACAATTTTCGGTTAAGTCTGATGTGTACAGTTTTGGAGTTTTAGTACTTGAGATCATAAGTGGCAAAAAGAGCAATAGTTTCTACTAGTCAGATAATGGGGAGTACCTCTTGAGCTATGTAAGCTTCAATTTAATTTTAATTTTATATATCTTGCATACTATAGGAGCTACATTTGTTAGGAGAATTAACCAAATGATGTTCGTCATAGGCCTGGAGACTTTGGAGGGATGGAACGTCGTTAGAGCTGATGGATCAAACTTTTGGCAATTCTTTTCCACAAAATGAGGTGGTGAGATTAATCCATATTGGATTATTGTGCATTCAGAAAAATCCAGCAGATAGACCTATGATGACAACAGTATCACTCATGCTTAACAGTTTCTCTGTCACGCTATCGTTACCGAAATAACCAGTATTCTTTGTTGGTAGCACAACACAACAGAGTATGCCAGGATTGAGTATAGAGTCTGTTCAATCTTCAAGCAAAACCATGCCTTCATCTATGAATGATGTGTCCATCACTGAACTCCACCCTCGTTAGCACAAGCAATAGTATTAAAACCTCGCATGGAGATTATTGAACTTAGTTTAAGGTTTGTAGACTTATCAAATTTGCCATAAAGTTATCAAATTTGCTTCTCCTAAATTATTTGATCCATTAAACTGATCACATATTTGCCTCCATTTTTCCAAATATTATTAAAAACCTAAAATATATATAGATATTTAATACTTTCTAAGGTATGTTTAATATTAATTGATCACATAAAACATTAAAGCTAAAAACATCAAACTTGGTTGAGTAATGTCTATGTTTTATATACTTGGGAGGTATATATGTATTGAAAATTGCCATTGATGGGTTAAAGATTTTAATGAGTAAGTGTTAAGTTATCATTCGAATCTTGTATTACTTTGAGTTTGATCCATTCAAAACAATTTTTCCATTCCAAAATTTGCGACTTTGGAATCATACTGTCATTGTCATATTTCATATTGCTAGCGAATGAACTTAAGATATAGTTTGTGAAGTTCAACTCTCTATAACTAAATAGATGTGGCCTCAATTATAACCATCAGGTTTTTTTAAAACAAATCATACTTATAGTTTATATAATTAGGTGTATTATGCAATTTTTCTTTCTCTAGAATATGGAAAGGAGGTATATTTAACAATTACAATAACATTGTATTTTATTTGTTTTTAAAAATCTTCTCAATGTACTTTATATATCTAATTAAGAAACACATTTTGATAAATATATATCTAAAATATATTTGATTTTGTCATATCGACATACTCGACGACATATCTAGAGTTGGTCAAGGACCAGTCCTAAGCAGGCCCAGGCCTGGGCCCATTTGGGACCAGTCGCTCATGGGCCTGGGATCGGTCTCACGCCCATGAGCAATATGAGGACCCAGATCGGTCCTTAGGATTGGTCCTATGGGCCCAAGACCGGTCCTATGGGCTTGGATAATTTCTTTTCCCCTCTAATCTTTTTTTATATTTTAGGGGCGAAATAAAATTTTATAGGGGGGTTTTTAGTATTTTTTAGGGGTAGATTAGTAAGTTTCTAAGAATTTAATTAATTTGAAAAAATAATAAAATAATTAATTGTTAATTTTAATTTTTAACATAAATGTAATATTCACATTTCACACATTCACGCTTCACAAATAACAATTAAATAATTTTTTTTATTAAATTATTCATCTTCATCGTCAATAATATTTACATCATTCAAATCTGTATTCCTAAAGAGTTCGAGTAGTTCGGGATCTTCAAGGTGCTGTTATAGTCTTCTTTCTGCATGAGTCCAATCCCATAAACATGTTATGACTTCAATCATCTCATCGGTTAAAGAACATCTTCTGTCTTCAACAATCCGACCACTCGTTGAAAATGTTGACTTAGATGCAATTGTAGAAACCGGCACAGATAAAATGTCACGTGCCATTTGGGCTACAATGGGGAATCGACTTTTATGTTGGTTCCACCATTGAAGAATATCCATGTCATGTTGCTCCTTCATCGTCATAAAGGACAGGTCCACTTGTAGGTAGCGACTTAGCTCATTTGGTCCATGTATGTACGAGCTGGATCTACTACTTCCGCCACGTTCCACATACGTCCACTTGCTCAATCCTTGACGGAGGGCTGCATCAAGGTCCTGATCCTCTCTACTGAACGTTCCACTTCCACTTCCATTGTACCTGTTCTCATATAAAGAAAAAAGGTTATCCAATTTTTGTTTAAAGTCAATCAAATAAGACGTATAATCATGTCCCAAATGCTGGCCTAACTCAGTAATTATATAGTTAACTACGTATAATTTAAACCTAGGATCTAGAACAAGGCCTAATCCATATAAGAATGGAATATCTAACCAATATTTCTCATATTTTTCTTCCATCTTTAAAACAATTTCCCTTAAAATGTTATTATATCTATATTTAGCAAAAGTTTTAGCAATTTGAAGTAAAATATCTAACACTAAATTAGTAGTCGGATAATAAATACCACTTAATGTATTAGTAGCATCATAAAAAATTTGAAGAAATGAATAAAAAAGTTAACAAACCGCCCAATCATCATAGCTGACAACTTACTCTGGATAGTGCTTCCGGTTGACGAAATCTGTAATTTGTTTCGCGGTTGGCAAAGCTTTTTCCAACATCAAGTAGGTGGAGTTTCAACGGATAGGCATGTTCGTATATAACTTCAAAGGTCAAACTGGTAGGTCCTCTTGCTTACAATATTTGACGTACTCTTACCATATTTTATTGCTACCACCGACGATAAATCCGATAGCCGCGCGCACCCTTTCCATCTTCGAATGTATAGCATCTAAACCTGCTTTAACTATCAAATTGATGATGTGGCAAGCACATCTCTGGTGAAAAAATTTGCCTTCACCATGCGGATCCAATCTCTTTTCAAATTAAGAGATTGTCGCGATGTTAACAGCTGCATTATCAAGCGTTAATGCTACAACTCTATCAGTTAATAAATATTCTTACAAAACGTTAAGAATTGTAAAATAAATAGTTTCAGCACTATGTTTTTCATATAATGGTTTAAAACCTATCAATTTTTATTGTAAACCCCAATTATGATCTAAGAAATGTACTGTGACAATTAAAAAATCGGTTTTTGATCTACAAGCCCATATGTCTGATGTAAGTGCAATAAATATATTCCTAAAATTTTGAAATTCGTTTTTAAGTTTATTATTTATTTTGTTATAAAGTTTTAGTATATCTCTTCTACTTGTACTTATACTTAACAGGGGTATATGCTGGACAAAATGCAGTTTTAATCATGTGAATAAAATAGGATTTTCATATAAACAAAGGGAGAGTCCGTAGCAACTATGAATCTTGCTATTTTCTCTCGTGCAACATGTGCATTGTATTGCCATGTTGAGAGAGGAGGATTGTGGATTAAAATTAAGTTGAGTTTGAATTGTTACCTAATCCGATTGAAAATGTACCGAGCAACTGTATTATTTGGGGGTGCTTCTCTCCACGTGTTGTCGATCGTCGAAGTCCCTTCTCAGCACCAATAATGGCTCCACAAAAATTACATATCCCACACAATTCTTCCCCCTCCCCATTTGTCTTTGGCCGTTTGATTTGGTGAAGTGTCATCATACATCGGACACGACCCTCTTTAACGGTCAGGGGGTTGGTCTATGCCGTGCCCGTTAACTCGTAGCTTGCATGTGTTTGACTACACCATCCCAATCGAATGTGGTGTGGAATTGCAGCTGCTACCTCTGGAGAAAAGGGTGAAAATGGATAAACCCTTCCCTTTCTTCGGTGGATGGAACGTAAAACTCATTTGGGGATAATACTCCCAATGCATCATTTTGGGAATCCATTATGAATTTATGATAATAATAAATAATTAAAATGAAAAAAATTAAATAATAATATGAATAAGAGATGATATTGAATAATAGAAAAAATTGAATATATAAATAAATATAAATATAAATATAAATTGAATGAGAATTCGATTGGAGATTGGAGTAGAGAGATTGAGAGAATGAGAGATGATGGTGTGAAAAAAAGAAAGATTTTAAGGTATATATAGTGTAATTTTTTTTCGGAGGGGGGGGGGGGGTGGGGGCGCAATTATCATTTAACTTCTATAATTTATGTTTATTTAAAATTTATAGAGGGTTTTAATAATTTTACAAAGGAAAAAATGTAAAAAAAATTTGGGCTGGGCCTTGGAAGAGGGCCCAGTGGAAGGACCAGGCCCTCCTCTTTACTCCTTGGGGGGGGGGGGGGGGGGGGGGGGGGAGATATCATTTTAACTTCTATAATTTATGTTTATTTAAAATTTATAGGGGGTTTTAATAATTTTACAAAGGAAAAAATGTAAAAAAAATTTGGGCTCGAGCCTTGGAGGAGGGCCCAGTGGAAGGACCAGGCCCTCCTCCTTACTCCTTAGGCCTAGTCCCGTTTTGGGATCAGACCTCCTAGGACCGGGTTTTTGGGCTAGGTTTTTGGACCCAGTCCCAAATGTCCACCTCTAGACATATCATCAAACATTGTTCGAGTATTCTTGTCGGTGAAGATAGCCTTGAGAAAGGGTATTTTTGCCAATCCACTAAGATTGGGGTTAGATAGCAAAATCTTTTTGAGGAGGAATATCCCCCGAAAATGTGGCTATTTGCGTTTGTTTCCCTGTTTCAAAAATATTCTATTCCTATTCTGAAAAAATGTTTGAAAAAGAGAGAGAGAGAAAACCGTTACTTCTCAGAGGAACTGAGAAGCAGAGGGGCTACAGAAGCCAGTAGCTAATCAACTTTTTCCTGTGTAAATAAGATTTGCATTCTTATTTTCTTTTCATTTTTTTGTTGTCTTACTTATAAATTTGCATGCACATTAGCTTGGAGTTTTGTTTGAGCCAAGAAAAAATTGGGTTTTATTCATTTTTCCTTTACAACTCACTTTCATCCATGTGAGTTTGTTTTTTATTTAGTTTTCATGGATATTACTTTGATCGAAATCAGTTCTTTATGTGGTTTTTGTTTACAAGTTTTAATTTTGAAGCTGAAACTAGGTTTTTGTTTTAGGTTTCAGTTTGGGTTCTTGAAGATGGCAATGAAGATCCTTTCTGGAAGCTGCTCTTCTGACCTTTCATCTCTCTTTGGAGGAGCTTTCTACATCAATAGGTATATCTTTTTTCAATTAATTTTATATTTTTTTGCTCCCAAAAAGCATTAATTTTTATTTTCACACTGTTGCTATGGAGGCGTATTGTTAAATTTTAGGAGATTTGAAGGGGGAAGTTACAGTACATTAGGTTGTATGTTGTGAGTGTGTGGTGAATTTTTTATTTCTGCTAAGTACAGTTTTGAGTTTCATTTTAGAAGATTAGTCAAACAGAATATTGAAATCTCATTTACTATTTTTCTTTTATAGACTTTATCTTTTGTTCTGTATCTATGAGGGATAGAGCATTGATGATTTCATTTTGTTCTTCTGCAGGAATCGACTGACTCTTGCCGGAATCGGTTTTTCTAGTAGTATTTCGACCTTCTTACAAAAGCTAAATTACGGACATTAACATGTTTCTTTCCTCTTTGTGGTACTAACATGATGGTTTTTTGATGTAAGAACAGCTGATTCTCGTGCAAATGAATCATTGAACTCAAGAGTAGATCCTCCAACGCTGTTAGCAGCTGAGAAAAAAGAAGCCAAGTCTGTTTGAACCTTGCTCTTGATGCAACAAGGTCTTAGCAAGGTAGTTGCTGCACAAACTATCAATAAATCAGATCATTTCATCGACCACCTTATCTCAAGCCTTCATTCTGCTCATAAATCTTGGTATCTTGTAGGTCCGGCTACAACATGTAGTTTTTCTTTTTTGGTACTTTTATCTCAGTGTCTTTGTTCCCATGCTAATCAGTTTTACTTGTTATTGCAGGAAGAGAGTTCACGACCCTTGAGATTAGGGACACCCTTAATCCTTATCTTCAATCCCTCCTTGAAGAGCATGGAAACTTTATGGTAGATTTAGTTAAGAACTTTCCTACCGCACCTATCAAAGAAAAGCCAGCTTTGCCAGTTTGTCGATCTCATTCCAGCCTTGACTAAGCTAGAAGTATTCTCTCATTTAAGCACCCCAAGTCTAGCAGCAGATATATGCCCTCAACTTAGCTACCTCTTAGAGCTGGCATGGATCTTGAGCAGATCAAGTTAGCTACACACAAATATCCTAGTTTTGTCAACTATAGCTCGGAGAGCAAAATCAAACCTCTACTAGAGTTTCTTCTTGATCTTGAGGTAGCTAAATCAGAGATTCCTAAAATTCTTGTCCAAAGGCCTCATTTATGCGACATAGTATATCTGGTAAAATAATACCCATCATGTTATACTTGGAAGATATGGGTGTGGACAAGAAACAGTGGGCAAAAGTTATATTCTGCAGCCCAGGACTCCTCAGTCACAGCAGGTAGAAGGTTCAGGCAGAGTTGTTAATTTCCTTCATGAGTTGGGGTTATCAGGTGATAGCATAGGTAAGGTCTTAACATGGTATCCAAGAATTATAAGTTACAGGGTGGAAGACAATCTCTGACCGACAGCCGAGTACTTCAAACTGTTAGGGGTTAATGTTGCCATCGTTGTCCACAGATTTCCAGCAAGTCTTTGGCTTAGTATTGAGGGCAATGTCAAGCCTGTGACCAAATTTTTCTATGAAAAGGGGTTCAGTGTGGAAGATATCGGGACCATGGTGTCGAGATTGCCTAATTTATATGCTCTCAGCTTGACAGGGAGCTTGATACCCAAACGGGAGTTCTTTTTGACCATGGGTTATTCAAAACCTGAGTTGATTAAGTTTCCTTAGTATTTTAGTTACAGTTTGGAACAGAGAATCAGACCACGTTTTGCACTTGTCAAGGAGTTAGGAGTGAAAATCGGGTTGGACCGCATGCTAGTATGACCACACTGTGACTTTGAGAAAGTTTTGAAGATGAAGAGAAAGAATATGCTTGCTGATGAGCTTTCAAGTCATACAGAGAGCAAGTAATATGATCATTGGTCAGGAAATGGATTGTATGGCTTCTCAGTGGAGTGCTCATTTAGATGGAGCAGCCCAGTGGTACAATTTTCAAGCTTGACTTTAACAAGTTTGTTGGAGGTATCTTTGAGTGTTGTCCACAGTGTGGTCAGTCCTTTTCATCAATTGTTTCTCTATAATCCTTGTATTAACATAAGTTTTCTCTTCTGCATTACTCTTTCTTACAAGTTAGTATTCCCAGGATGCATGGAAGTGAATTCAATCATTGTTGTTTAGATGAGACTCTCTTCCTTATCATGCAATTTTTTTTTTTGGTTGCAAATTCTTTTTCTACTTCAATGTAAATCTTAGATGTAATGGCTCTAGTACTTGTTCTTTGTTTGAAGGTGAGGTTAATATTCTGAACATTTATCTGGCAAAATGTTCTCTGGCTGCTCAACAAGTGATTGTTTGTTGGTTATGAAACTTTGTTATATTTGAATACAAGCTTTTACTTAATTACAAGTGTAACATTTTATATTATAAGTCCGTCGTTAAAAATATTACATTCAACATTGCAAGTTTGATATTTTATATCACAAAACATGCATGTTTTGAGATAATGAGAATGTAGACTTGATATCTTACATTAACTTAACACTAGATATGAATATTATATGAATGAGATACAACTGAGTCTTGGAATTTTAAATGTTGAAGTCTTTGTTTTAACAAAAATCAACTTGCTTTTGCAAAATTTGTTTGAAATTATTATGAACGTCAATCACAATGAGATAGGAAGCAAGCTGGCTAATATAGAATCAAGTGTGATCAAGATAAGACCAATGAAATGGCCAATGATAAGTTTGTTGGCATGTCTTGTTAAATGTTTACTTTAGTGACACGATGATGATGAATCCACTTGCTTTCTCCAGTAATGGACTTTGGGCGTATACTGTATATACTTCATTACTTTTGGAAGATTAGTTAAAGCAATGCTTCTATATCTGCAATGAAGAATCTGTTCACTTTTTTCACTCCAAATACTGTCTTCTTGTTGGGCTTGGGTTTCCCTCATGTGAAGATGGCCCAAACTAAAGCCCAGGAAACCACATACCGCGACCACAGATGCATAAGTACCACCATATTTTTGACTCCAAATACTGTCTTCTTGTTGGGTTTGGGTTTCCCTCATGTGGAGATGGCCCAAACTAAAGCCCAAAAATAAAAGAAAGAAAAAAAATTGCAGTAGCTTTATTCGTTTTTTGAGTGGGTGAATAGCGTGAAAAAATAGGACACTATTCATTGATGCAAAATCTGCAGATGTGAGAAAGAGGCAGCTACGCCAAGTTATTCCAATAACGATCCAACGGTAAATTTTGCTCCGTTTTTACTCAAATTTCAGAGTGTTGTTGTTGATGGCAAGATCTTTACATCTAACGGTTAGTTTTGTGATAGTCATATTTTTTGTGGAGTTTTATCTCTTGAAAAATAGCCAAATCAAATAATTGAGTTGTAGAATTTTCAGTTCGTTCGTTTTTCTTCAACCTGACAATCAAAAGATCATCTCTAGTCTAATCAACCTGGTTTTAGGTCAGAATGCAGAGGACGTTTGGCTCTTCAATCTGGATGGTTGGTTTTCGATTTTCGGCTGAGTTTGGAGTTATACAGCCTGCATTTCAGGTGTTTTACTGGTGATTTTTCTCCATCTTTTTGTAACTCTTTTATGTATTTCACTTTATTAAGAATTGTGATATAACTCTAAATTTTATGTGGAATATTATTGGTGATTTGTGGCTGTTGTAAACACTTTTTTATTATAGTGGATTTAAGTGGACCATTCGATCCCGTGGTTTTTTAATCTCTTCACATTGAAGAGGTTTTTCTACATAAAATTGTTTGTCTATTGTGAATTAGATTGTTGTTTTAAGCATATTTGCTCAAGGTTTTACTCCTTACAAATTCGTTCTAAGTAGGAAATATTTGTTAGTGCATTATTTACTTTCACTTCTCAACAAACCTCAATGAAACTCTCTCTTCTCTAATCCCGAATGCCCCCCTTAGCAATGGATTTTACAAAACCTGTACTGGGGGCCTGCAAGGCCCTGATGGAGCCTATGGCCTCTTTCTTTGTAGACGAGACATCTCTCCTGATCTATGCCAAATTTGTGTCAAGGTCGCTAGTAAAAAAATTGAAAACCTTTGTCCTAAACAAAAAGAAGCAATTATATGGTATGAAGAGTGCATGTTAAGGTACTCAAACAGCTCTGTTTTCTCTGATATGGAAGAGGATCCTCGTGTTTATTTGGGGAACCAAAATAACGTTATACATCCCAGTCAGTTTAATCAGACTTTGGCTGATTTGATGAAAAGTTTGGTTCATGATGCTGTGTCATCTAGCAACTTTTTTGCTGCTGAAGATGTGAATTTCACAACTTTTACTAGGCTATATGGGATGGTGCAATGCACTCCTGACATTGTTTCATCTGAGTGCCGCATTTGCTTGGCTGCTTGTGTGAGTGAGATTCGTAAATATTGTAATGGGAAAGAAGGAGGTAGAGTTTCTAAGCCTAGTTGCAATATCAGGTTTGAAATTTACCCTTTTTACTCTATGGCCTCTCATTCACCTCCACCGCCAGCTACCTCAACAAGTAAAAGTGGTAAGCATTTGCATTTACCACTTTTAGGATTGTCGGATTCACTTGTGTCCTTTTACAAAGGAGGAAGACAAAGCAGGAGATCGGAAGTGAGCAAGAGGCAGAAGGTTAATTATACCCTTTCTCCTGCCACAATTTATATCACCAGCTTCTCCTTCTCAGCCGCCTCCGTCGTTGCCTTCTCTACGGCTAGTTATTCCAAAAGGTATGTTTCAAGATCCTTTCCTGTTATGAACTTTACAAAAGCAACATCTTCTTCTTTCTTCAAACAATTTCTAATCCTTAGCAAATCTCTATGTAGGATTCGAACTCGGATGAAGTTCTAACTATCTGTCAAAGAAAAAACAAATGGATCTTGTAGGATTCCTAAGAACTAAATTCTTTGATTTTTTCCGAAAGTAGATATTTATATGTTTTTCACATTTCCTTAATGGCCAGGACATTAAGAAATATCCATAAAGGCATTTAAGGGAATTGGTCTGATTTTATCTTTGTTTTGTTTTATGGTAGATTTCGTGAAGAACTTTCGTACCGCACCTATCGAACAAAAGCTAGCTTTGCCAGTTTGTCGATCCCATTCCAGCCTTAACTCCAAGAAGCCAGAAGCAGTCTCTCATGTAAGCGCCCCAAGTCCAGCAGCAGATCCATGCCCTCAACACAGCTACCTCTTAGAGCTTGGCATGGATCTTGAGCAGATCAAGTTAGCTACTTGCAAATATCCCAGTTTTGCCAACTACAGCTCGAAGAGGAAAATCAAACCTCTAGTAGAGTTTCTTCTTGATCTTGGGGTAGCTAAATCAGATATTCCTAAAAATTCTTGTCCAAAGGCCTCATTTATGTGGACATAGTATATCTGGTAAAATAATACCCATGATGTTATAATTAGAAGATATGGCTGTAAACAAGAAACAGTGGGCAAAAGTTATATTGCGCAGCCCAGGACTCCTCAGTCTCAGCAGGCAGAAGGTTCAGGCAGTTGTTAATTTCCTTCTTGAGTTGGGCTTATCAGGTGATAGCATCGGTAAGGTCTTAACTCGGTATCCAAGAACTGTAAGTTACAATGTGGAAGACAATCTCCGGCCAACAGCCAAGTACTTCAAAAGTTTGGGGGTTAATGTTGCCATTGTTGTCCATAGATGTCCCGCGAGTCTTTGGCTTAGTATTGAGGGCAATCTCAAGCCTGTGACCAAATTTTTCTATGAAAGGAGGTTCAGTTGGAAGATATTGGGACCATGGTGTCGACATTGCCTAATTTATATGCTCTTAGCTTGACGGGGAGCTTGATACCCAAATGAGAGTTCTTTTTGACCAATCGGTTATTCAAAATCTAAGCTGGTTAAGTTCCCTCAGTATTTTAGTTACAGTTTGGAACAGAGAATCAGACCACGTTTTGTACTTGTCAAGGAGTTAGGACTGACAATCGGGCTGGACTGCATGTTAGTACGATCAGACTGTGGCTTTGAGAAAGTTTTGGAGATGAAGAGAAAGAATATGCTTGCTGACGAGCTTTCAAGTCCTACAGAGAGCAAGTAATATGATTGTTGGTTAGGAACTGGATTGTATGGCTCCTCAATGGAGTGCTCATTTAGATGGAGCAGCCCAATGGTACAGTTTTCAGGCTTGACTTTAACAAGTTTGTTGAAGGTATCTTCGAGTGTTGTCCACAGTGTGGTCCGTCCTTTTCATCAATTGTTTCTCTAATCCTTGTCTTCGCAGAAGTTTTCTCTTCTGCATTACTCGTTCTTGCAAGTTAGTATTCCCAGGAAGCACGGAAGTGAATTCATTCGTTGTTGTTTATATGAGCCTCTCTTCCTTATCATGCAATTTTTTTTTGTCGCAAATTGTTTGGCTACTTCAATGTAAATCTAGTACTTATTCTTTGAAGGTAAGGTTTATATTCTGAACATTAATCTGGGAAAAGGGTTCTTTGGTTGCTCAACAAGTGATTGTTTGTTGGTTATGAAACTTTGCTATATTTGAATTTAAGCTTTTACTGAATTACAACTGTGACATTTTATATTATAAGTCTGTCGTTAAAAATATTACATTCAACATTGCAAGTTTGGTATTTTATACCACAAAACATGCAGGTTTTGAGATAATGAGAATGCAGACTTGATATCTTATATTAAAACTTGGAGCATCACTGCATTTAAACAGCACAGGTTATGAATGGTAAATCAACTGAGATACAACTGAGTCTTTGAATACTAAATGCTTAAGTCCTTGTTTCAATAAAAATCACTTTGTGATAGGAAGCAAGCTGGCTAATACAGAATCAAGTGTAATCAAAGAGAAGACCCATTGAAATGTCCAAGTGATAAGTTTGTTGACATGTCTTGTTAATTGTTTGCTTTAGTGACATGATGATAATGGCTGCACTTGCTTTCTCCAGTAATGGGCTTTGGGCATTTACTGTATATACTTTATTACTTTTGGAAGATTAGTTAGAGAAATGCTACTATATCTACAACGAAGAATCTGTGCACTTGGCAAACTGAGATTCAATTTTAGAATGATGCTGTGTAAGGAAAATTTGAAGAAAACAAGAAATGAAAGGGACGAAGTCTAGTTTTGTCTAGACTTTTGTTATGCATGTCAGTTTAATAAATACCTTTTTGTATTAGATGTCAAACCCATACCTTCTCAAAGATATTCATATCAATCCTATCTCATGTCAAGAAATGAATGGACAGGAGTCTTTCATGTGTCAAGGTAACTTGGAAAACACTCATTACATTGACCTCAAAGGTGTATAAATTGACACTTCTCTTCACAAAAAAAGGGGCTGAACATATGAGAGTTAGGCGTAAATTTGAGCTCAATTCTTTGTCTCTGTAAACACTGTATTTCTTCATCTTTGTATGTTTTATAGGCAAAATCATAGAAATAGTCAGAGATTAATAAAATAACAGTGGATGTAGGATTTGCTTTAAGCATCCGAACCACTATAAAAACCTCTCTTATTAGTCTATTATTTATGTTTTCTACAACATATATAATCTTAGCTCTATATTCAAATCTCATGGATCTATCACGTATAATTTCTAAGACTCTCTTAATACTTTGCACGTACGAGTCGTTGATGTCCAAAATAAAGCGTGAACAACTTTTATCCCTCATTTGCAATAATTTTCATCTCTTCCTTGTCTTTCTCTTTCTCTCTTTTTCTTTTTCCTTTCACAGTTGTGTTCTCTTTCTTCATCTTCCCCAAGCACATGTAAATGCATAACCCTGAAAAGGGTTTTAAATCTTTGCTTTATTTGGTTTCTTTGTGCTAATAAACAAAGGCGTTTATAATTAACTATATGTTATGACACAGGGAATTTCACAATAATAGCTCCTATGAGAAGAACAGGAATCTGATCCTCTTATCTCTTGCTTCTAATGTCACTCTACATGATTTTTTTTTTAGACTCTTGTGCTTGGAGGAGATTCTTCAAAAGTGTGCTAATTGTAAAAGTTCTGAAGCCAAAAAAGCAGTTGTATGGAATGATAAATATTATTCAAGCATCGGAATCTATGGCTATAATTTCTTATTCTCACTTTAGAATAGGAGAAGAGGTAGATACCCAAACCAAAAATTATCAAGAAAGCACCTAGAGTCGGTACTCATTTTCTTCTCGAAGAGCTTGGCAAGATTTCGCTAATAATCATTCTGCTTTGTAACATGTGTGATGAAGATTTTCATTTCATGTTGAAATTATTCGGGGAAGAAATAGTTATGTGAGATGAAAGAGAATGCTAGAGAGAGGAAGGAGTTTCTATCTTCTTCTGCAGTGTTTCATTTCATGTTGAACATACATAAGGCGTTCTTTGCTTTTTGATTGTATAAGTTCTCTTGCAACTCATTTGCCTAACTGGATTGCTAACCATGGGAGTCAAGTTAACCTTGTGATGTTGTTACTTTACTTGCCATTGAAATTGTATTAGAACTAGAAAGCATGATGGCTTCTTCTCTTTGGATAAAATTCATCCTTTCAGCCATTGTTATGCTCATTATTTCTCCCAATGTCACAGCCCAGGAAACCACATACCGCTACCACAGTGCGTAAACACCACTTTTTTCACTCCAAATAGTGCCTTCTTAACAATCCTCAATGAAACTCTCTCTTCTCTGATCTCAAATGCCCCCTTAGCAATGGATTTTACAACACCAGCACTGGGGGCCTGCAGGGCCCCGATAGAGCCTATGGCCTCTTTCTTTGTAGAGGAGACATCTCTCCTGATCTAGCCAAATTTGTGTCAAGGTCGCTAGAAGAAAAATCAAAAACTTTTGTCCTAAACAGAAAGAAGCAATTATATGGTATGAAGAGTGCATGTTAAGGTACTCAAACAGGTCTATTTTCTCTGATATGGAAGAGGATACTCGTGTTTATTTGGGGAACCAGAACAACGTTATACATCCCAGTCAGTTTAATCAGACTTCGGCTGATTTGATGAACAGTTTGGCTCATGAGGCTGTGTCATCTAGCAACTTTTTCGCTGCTGAAGATGTGAATTTCACAACTGTTACTAGGCTATATGGGCTGGTGCAATGCACTCCTGACATTGTTTCATCTGAGTGCTGCATTTGCTTGGCTGCTTGTGTGAGTGAGATTCGTAAATACTGTAATGGGAAGGAAGGAGGTAGAATTTCCAAGCCTAGTTGCAATCTCAGGTTTGAAATTTACCCTTTTTACTCTATGGCCTCTCATCCACCTCCGCCGCCAGCTACCTCAACAAGTAAAATTGTTAAGCATTTGCATTTGCCACTTCTAGGATTGTCGGATTCATATGCATCTGACCAATGTCGGAGCCTGCATTAACCACGTGTACTGCTGATGCACGCAAGATTTTTTTTTCTTTATATTGAGCATTTTAGATATCCAAAGTGACCATAACTTTTCACTTTGATATTGTGAAATATGTGTATAGACATGATGAACCTATCCCATTTAAGTTGTTTATTAATCTAATCATAGGGTGAGTTAGCGCAAATAAATAGCAGGACATATGCATGATTACTTGATCAAATTCTTCTGTAGGTCGGAAATTAATACTGTAATCACTGTTATAATGCTTTTTGCATAGTGAATGACCTCTCTCAGGTCTATACGTGAAGCTACATCTACTTTTTTGGTTAGCTTGTCAATCTTTTTGTATCTTCTATAGTTTGAATACAATTCTTTTGGTTTCCTAGCAAAGAATCATCATTGTTACAATCATGTTCTTTAGTTTTGTATTACCCAAATAGATTTCAGTGCCATCATGAGTTGACTATGTACACATTTTTCTGGTTTGTGCATGCAGAGAAAAAAGGTTTTACATCTAGGTTTGTTATAACCATTGTTTCTTCGGTAGTAGTTGTTTTTATTGCACTTGTTGCCTTCACTTGTGTCTTTTTACAAAGGAGGAAGACAAAGCAGGGAATTGGAAGCGAGCAGGAGGCAGAAGGTAATTATAGCCTTTCTGCTGCCACAATTTACTCTGCTATATGAGCTGAAACTAATTTTCTTTTTGAGTTCTAATCTCTTACTCTGATCTTTTAAGGTTCTTGTGAAATTGATAATGTGGAATCCTTGCAATTTGACTTCAGCACTATCAGAACTGCAACAAATAAGAGGGGGATTCGGTGTTGTTTACAAGGTATTAATATCAAGTACTCATAACCAAAGTGAATATCAATTGTTAGTTAAAATGGGTAAAATTGTAAGTTCTGAATAACGTAAATGCTGTTACAATCATT